GTCTGCTGTGATAGGCATGTTCCACTATGCTGAAAACCCAACCTGTGTAGAAAGGTAATCAAATATGCTACAAGACACTTAAAAGCCACTCGTTTTGATATGATCTTAATGCAACTCATGAATTTTAAAAAACAGCTGCACAAATCCTTTAATTATATCCCCACTTCTGCTTCTCTTTAGATTCTGATCTTTGAAAAAGGAAAATATAAATTATTTTAACACAGAAAATTAACAGATTCTCTCAGTTAACTTGCCTATCCCCTTTCATATTTTAATGGCAAGAAGATTAGCATAGCACAGCCACAGTGATCTGAACACGCTACATACCATTTATCCGTCATTACACTGGGGGACCAAAGAAAGATGAATGCAAAATATATGAAGATATACATCCAGTCTACCAATCACAAAGGAAGTGGAAAAACCTGAAGAAATCCTCCCAGCAAATGTCAAATCTCTGTCACTCTCCTCTGTCTCTGAAGGAGACATGCAGAAAATTGGGTTGTATTTTAAAATAAAGATAGGGCACCTAATATCTGGACATTAAAACAATTATGCAGAAGAGAAATTCAGATACTTAGGGTAATTTCTCTCTCAAAGATGGGAATGAGGGAGAAAACATTTGTAAAAACATCTAACATTTAGAACTAGATATTTAATATATAGTTAAATGTCTCAGACTTCAACACAGGCTAATATTTGTGTCAAGTTTATACACATCACAAAATGCCCTACATTTTTTAAGATAATGCAGGTTTTGAATGTTGAATTTAAAAGACTTTTTATTTGAATGATCACTAGAAACACACACCACAAAAATAAGTGTGTTCGCCAATATATTTGACAGTTATTAAAAACCTGCTACATGTTACAAAGTATAACAAAGAGCCTCTGCTTTAAAACAATAGACTACATTGTTAACTGGTGTGTGATCAACAAAGGTAATACAAATTTGCCCCCAAAACAAGAGATAAAGGAGAACAGTTAAAACCCACCATTAGAATATTGGGGCCATCAGTAAATATTGCCTTTATTTCCAATTGGAAGTTGCGCTACATATTGAAACCATTCATATTTAAATGTGCTTTGTGTGTATTAGAAAACCACGGGGGTGGAGGGGAGGAGAATGCTGTGGGCAGAGGGGGTGGTTATGAATTGGCTTTGTGAGCAGATCCTCTTTAAATCGCTCCCATCCTCAAATTCATGTAAATGAGCTGAGTGGAACTGGGGCAATTCTTTTTCACCCCTTCCCCCAACACATCTGACAATGGGCTTTGCCCGTGGAGTTGCCTGTGGTTATGGGCCTTTTTGGTGCTGCTGCTGCTAACGGGGCACCTTTCAACCTCCTCCCCCAACATATGAGAACAGGAGTGTCTCTCCAGGAAGTGGGAGCATGACAATGGGATACAGCTAGGGGAGAGCTGGCAAATCTGAACCCTCCCCACAATATATACATGGATGGAAAGCATGCACATGTGTAGGAGGTCCAGCCTGGAGGTTGTAGGCCTGAGGGTTCGAAGGCCAAGCCCCTCACATCACATGAAGGTGAAGGGGGTGGAGAAACAGCTCTTGAGGGCAGAACAGCAAGCCGGCCAGCTAGAGGGAAGAGATGGGGAAAAGCAGTTCCTCGGGGCTGGGCAGATGATGGTAGTGAGGACGGGATCCCTAGAATGAGGTGAGGAAAGGGTTGATGGAGGCATGTCCCCTGGCAGGAGGAAGGATGCTAAAATAGAGGCAGTACCCCAAGGGGAGGGGGAGATGCTGATGGGAGAAACTGGTTCACACAGGGTAAGAGATACTTATGGGGGACAGTAACCTTGAGGTAGAGTGGATGGGGTAACAGACACTGATGGTGGGGAAGCACCCAGCCTAAAAATACTGAGGAGCATGGAAAGGACAGTATTCCTGGGTGGAGTGGGATGCTAATGAGATGGAGGCACAGTATCACTAGGAGAAAGGATGCAGGAAAGAGGCTGATTGGAGGAGGGGGCACAGCCCCTGGGTGAGGCAGTATTGGGGGGAGGATGGAGAAGGTTGTTAATGCATGGGGGTGGCAGGAGGGGTCCATGCTAATGGACAATATGCTTGAGGAGGGGCCAATGCTGATGGAGGGGCAGAACCCCAGAATGAACAGAAATTCTAATGGAGGCAGTGCCCCAGAGAGACTAGGGAGAGAAGAGATGCTAGCAGGGTGCAGTGCCCTGAGGATGGGGGGAAAGGGGGCAGACCAGTGCTACTAGGGGGTAGTGGCCCAGGGATGGTGGTGCTCATGGGGGGAGGGACGATATGAGTGGGGCAGTGCCCCAGGGGTGGGGATACTGATAGGGGAAGAAAGGATGGTAAAGGGGGGGGGGGGAGAGGGAAGTGTACCAGATATGGGGTGTCAATGGGGTGAGAGGCAATGGATGGGGGAAGGGAGGATGCTAATGGAGGGCAGTGCCTCAGGGATGAGAGATGCTGATGAGGGGAATGTAGCAAGGAATGGGGGGTTAATGGGGGCAGTGCCCCAGTGATGGGGAAAGGGAGGATGCTAGCAGGGGGCAGGGCCCCAGGAATAGGGGTGCTGGTAAAGGGAGGAAGGGGAAAGTGTACCAGGGATGTGGGTGCGGGGGTTAATGGGGGCAGGGCCCCAGGGACAGAAGGATGCTAGTGGGGGGGCAGGGCCCTGGGTCGGGGGAAGGGAGGATGCTAACGGGGGGCAGGGTCCTGGGTCGGGGGAAGGGAGGATGCTAGCGGGGGGCAGGGCCCTGGGGATGGGGGTGTCAATGGAGGTGCAGGAGTTAATGGGGGCAGGGCCCCAGGGATGGAGGAAGGGAGGATGCTGGGGGGGGCAGTGCCCCAGGGACAGGGGTGCTGGTAAGGGGAAAGTGTACCAGGGATGTGGGTGCGGGGGTTAATGGGGGCAGGGCCCCAGGGATGGAGGAAGGGAGGATGCTGGGGGGGGCAGTGCCCCAGGGACAGGGGTGCTGGTAAGGGGAAAGTGTACCAGGGATGCGGGGGTTGATGGGGGCAGGGGTGTCAATGGAGGTGTGGGGGTTGATGGGGCAGGGCCCCGGGGGTTAATGGGGTGTCAATGGGGGTGCGGGGGTTGATGGGGGTGCGGGGGTTAAGGGAGGATGCTGATGTGGGGAGGGGCGAGGGTAGTGTGGGGGAGGGGTGTTATTAATTGCTCCCGTCCCACACAATGGGCTGGCCGGGCTCTCGCAAAGGGAAATCACGGAGGCCTCTTGACCCGCCCGGGCCGCCGTAGCCCCCTCAGCACCTCGCTCCTCCCCGCCATTTCATTCAATGGGGGAGCCGGCCGGGCCCCCCCCACGCGGCGTGCCCGGCCTCCCGGACTTACCGTGCCCGTCCCTGGAGGAGCCGCTCGCGGGGTCCATCCCCGCCGGGGGGGGAGCGAGCGGGCGGGCGGCCCGGGGTCTCCTTCTGGGGGGGACAAAGGAACCGCCGCTGCCGCCGCTACTGTGTGGGAGGGAGACGCTCGAGCTCCCCCTTGCGCGCGCCCCCGCGGCAGGCAGCAGCTCGCGCGCTCTCGCTCCAACTCCACCGCGCGCGCTTCGGCGCCTGCCTCGGTCAATGGGAGGGACCTAGCGGGGCTCGCGCTCAACCGCCCCCTCCCCCAGCGGCGCAGCCACGCCTTCCCCTGCGCTTCTGAGCTGCACAGCCAATCAGGGCAAGGAGGGTGGAGCCAAGGAGGGTGGAGCCCCAAGCACGTTCATCCAATGGGAAGAAACCTGACGCATGCCTCGGCCAACGCGTTGAGACGGTCCCGATGTAACCCCGCCCACTCCTTTCGGCGCGGCAACCAATGGGAAAGTATCTCAGGGCTCTCCCTTCCGCCCCCCCTCACAGCCTAAGGACTCGCGCGCTCAGCCAATGGGAGTTAAGGAAGGGGACTCGCGCTAACGCCTTCCAGCCAGCCTCAGCCAATGAGGTAGGAGAGCGAAGCGTTCGAGCGGCCGTGGGCGGGGGCAAAGGGGGCGAGCTGTGCCCGCTCTCCTAGGTGGCGCGCGCTGGCGGTGCGAGCGGCCTCCCCCTCCCCCCGGTTGGGAGCCGCCGCCGCGGCCACGCATGCGCAGTGCCAGCGCCACTGCGGCGAAGGGGAGGGGGTTGGTGGGGCTGAAGGGAATGGGGGCCTCAGGAGGGGGCGGGGACGGAGGAGAATAGGCTAATGGGGGAGGGGCACGGGAGGGGAACGAAGGGAGGGGGATGGGGAGTAGAATAGGGGGCTGAGGGGAGGTGAATGGGGAGCTGATGTGGAGGGGGCTCGGGAGGGGAATGGGGGCTTGAGGGGAGGGGGCTCGGGAGGGGAATGGGGATGAGGAGTAGAATAGGGGGCTGATGGGGCAAGGAGGGGAGCTTGGCAAAGGAAGGGGCTGAGGGGGAATGGGGGGCTGAAGGGAGGGGGCTCGGGAGGGGAATGGGGGCTGAGGGGAAGGGGATGAGTAGAATAGGGGGCTGGGAGGTGAATGGGGGCTGAGGGGAGGTGAATGGGGAGC